TCCCAAATGAGTGTCCCACAGGAGTGTCCCACAAGAGTGTCCCGCAAGAGTGTCTCGCAAGAGTGTCCCTTGAGAGTGTCCCACAAGAGTGTCCCGCAAGAGTGTCCTACAAGAGTGTCCGACAGGAGTGTCCCACAAGAGTGTCCCGCAAGTGTCCCGCAAGAGTGTCTCGCAAGAGTGTCCCTTGAGAGTGTCCCACAAGAGTGTCCCGCAAGAGTGTCCTACAAGAGTGTCCCAAATGAGTGTCCCACAGGAGTGTCCCACAAGAGTGTCCCGCAACAGTGTCCCGCAAGAGTGTCTCGCAAGAGTGTCCCTTGAGAGTGTCCCGCAAGAGTGTCCCAAATGAGTGTCCCACAGGAGTGTCCCACAAGAGTGTCGCGCAACAGTGTCCGCAAGAGTGTCTCAAAAGAGTGTCCCTTAAGAGTGTCCCACAAGAGTGTCCCGCAACAGTGTCCCACAAGAGTGTCCTACCAGAGTGTCCCACAAGAGTTTCCTACAAGAGTGTCCCACAAAAGTGTCCCACAAGAGTATCCCACAAGAATGTCCTACAGGAGTGTCCCACAAGAGTTTCCTACAAGAGTGTCCCACAAGAGTGTCCCGCAACAGTGTCCCGCAAGAGTGTCTCACAAGAGTGTCCCTTAAGAGTGTCCCACAAGAGTGTCCCGCAACAGTGTCCCACAAGAGTGCCCTACAAGAGTGTCCCACAAGAGCTTCCTACAAGAGTGTCCAGAGTATCCGACAAGAGTATCCAGTTTGACGGCATGAGTGAGACTAGACATGCAAGACAAGGCACGCGGAAGTATTGTTATGATGGCAGAGCTGTTTGCAAGAGTCAGGATAGCACTAGCAGGCGAGTGATCGACATGGTCACGTCGGGCGCGGACGCTAGTCGAAAGTTCAAGTGCTCAAGCAGATGTGATTTCACGACATGTAAGTACCAGCAATGATGCGAATACAGAGCGTTGTGGTTTCTGGTGAGCACTAGATGAAGCGTTTTTGCTTCCCCGCACGAAGCATCACACTAGAAAGAGACACCACGCATGAATCAAAAGACGGTTGCATTTTGGACGCGTTTGAAATAGAAAACGTTGGCAACCCAAATAATATCACGTAGAGTGTGTAGAGAGCATATCCCTGAGCTTGGTGGTGGAGTCACCGGTGTAGGGGAGCGCGATGTCGCGAAGAGGACGTGCGTACACACGACCTCGGACGTTGTGGGCAGATGACAAAAGAAGGAAGGGTTCGTGGCGAGTGAAGTTGACCTTACTACATGTGCTACTGATGCTAGGGTGTTGCTGGACTATTCTTCTACCTATGACGACCTGGTGGGCGATCCTTGGTATGATATTGATACCTAGCACACTGCGATGCGTGGAGCTGCAACACGGGACCTTGCTACCGCGGCCAAAGGTGTTGCTGGTGGAGTTCGCGCAACTATTTCCTTATCATTGCATTGGATTCTCAGACATGGGTGACATGATGGAGCCTAGACTTAAGATCAATTATTTGACGCGCGTCATAGCTACCTGTTATGTTGCAGCGTTCTTCATGTCATGGTAGTGCATTAGAGTAACAATATTGTTTTACATTAACCCACGTGGTCGATCACTAGTCTGTCATGCATACTCCAGCGAAACTAAGGCGTTGTTGGGTGTATGTTTTTGCTGCGCCTGGTGCATGGGATTGCACGCCGAGACCCTCCGAAGCTGTCGAATTTACACACTCTTGCTGATCGGATGTGTATCGCATTCTTGGAAGCTGACGTGGCAGTCTCCTGTTTGGTATATCCTCCTATTTTCTTCATATCTATTTCCAATATTTCCTCCAAAGAAGAAATCGGATGTCGAGAAAGCAGAGAGTGCCCGCGCAGAGTTGGAAGAGTTCATACGAGTACACGGAGAAATACCGTCGCAGCTGTCTGACTTATCCCAGAGTCGGGCAATCTATTCTAAATTGAGACGGCTGAAACTTTTGCACTTGCTGAAGCAGGAAGAGTCTCACGTAGCAGTTTGTAAAGCCACAGACACATTTTTCCAGAAGCATTCGCGGCTACCGAAACGACAGAACCCAGACACGGATGAGCGACGAGCAGAAGACGCCTTGGCGCAACGCTGGGATCGTCTGTTGGCACAGAGAGCCTCACTGGGAAATGCTCTACTGACTACCTATGAGCGACTGTTCATGGCTGCCGACGTGGAAGATGCAAGTGTTGTGGTTGATACCTGCGCAGCGGTTGAAAAGTTTTTCGATACCCAGCAAAGATTGCCCAAGCGACAGAACCCAGACACGGAGGAGCAACGAGCTGAGGACACCTTAGCTCGACGCTGGGATCGTCTGTTAGCACAGAGAGCCTCGCTGCCCAACGAGATCCAAGAGAGACACAGAGACTTGTTTGACTCTGCTGATATGACAGACACAGATGCTGTTTTTGCTTTGTGCTTGAGCGTGCAACATTTTTTCAACTCTGCTGGTAGGCTGCCACGGAGACAGGCAGTGAACGATGAGCAACAGCATGAAGAAGATTGCTTGGCGCGGCGCTGGCATCGACTGCTTGAGAGACACGACT